AATAAATCTGCAAAAATGTCAACAATTCTGTGTTTTTCTGTCAATATGGGGTGCTGTGTGTACATTAATGAGGAAAAAAAATTAACTTAAATGATTTTAGCAAATGGCTGCAATATAACAAAGAGTGAAAAATTTAAGGGGGTCTGAATACTTTCCGTACCCACTGTATATGCAAATTCATTCTCTGGCAGCAGGAGGTGCTATTGGAGTGGTAGAGATCGAGGTTTCCCTGGTAACCGCTGTACATGAAGCAGCGCTCCGCTCACAAACGCTGCTTTCAATGTATGGGAAACACTGTAGTCTCATAATTGAAGTGTAAATTCTGCAGATTACATCATTGTCCAGTATTATACTGTCAGGAATTTATTATAAAAACGTTTTCATAATTGTAACATGCATATTTACATACTGAATTATTCAGGTGCATGTGTAATAACTTGCGAAAACTTGACGCTACAGCAGCACTTCTTCGTCGTCGTCGTCTTGTCTGATGCAATCAACCAAGCGTTCTAACCACGACCTCGCCCCTCCCCACCCCCCAATCATTTGAGTTTCCGTAGGCGGGAATTATTTTAATTATATTCTGATGGACCGCTTTGTGATGTCACAAAACCCGGAAAACAACGCTGTAGTCCAAACGAGCCGTTCGTTGTAATTTTTGAAAAGGAATTTAAAAACTAAATATTTCCCTTTGGAGTGGACTTTGAGAGATTTGTAACTTTGCAGATCTTCTTTATGCCCAAACATACACACTGACTAAAATTCAAAAAGTGAAAAAGCATAATAGGACCCCTTTAACCTCATTTAATTTCTCACTTTCAAACACTCAATTTTTCATTTATTTGAACCCCCTCTACCTTCTAGATGAGGTATTTTCCACAAAAAGGCTATAGAATAGGACCTGAAATTGCATATTTTATTTTCTATTAATTGTATAAGAATTTCCAACCCTGTTACCCGTTTAAATTAGTTTTAAAACCCATTTGTTTGTAGCAATAAACAAAATCCAAAATAAACCAAACAAATAAGGTAAAATTCACAACACTGGTACAAATATTGATTTTAAGCAAGCAATCAGTAGGTTTTGGAATGTTGGTTTGTAGTTGATAAAAGTATTTCCCATAAATTGAAGAAATGCTTGGTTGACCTTTTTTCTTGCAATAACTTTGATTACAGGGTTGAATGGTTGAGCTTGATCAATGGTAGTTAACATGAAAAAATACAGATATTTTACATGCAAACAAACTCTTTATGCTGTTATTTTGTGTTTGATAGTAGTTTATCTGACACATCTAATGATTCTCACAACAAAAACATGGTGTCTGTGCCTCTAAAGCTTTCAGAAAAGTCATTGAGATATCTGAGTGTACCGTCTTCGCAGGAAGTGCCAACTGCACAAAATAATTCCTAGTATCGGTGTCTTCCTTTTCATCTCCAGCCCCAGTGGCTGTGCACTTCCTGTCCTCCCATTGTCTCTTCTGCATACATTTAGCACAGAGCCTTTGACCTCCCCTCCAGGTGCTCTACGGCTGCTGTTTCCCTTCTGCCTTCAGCCCCGTTCAGAAGCCCTTTTAATGTTTATGCATATCACCGGTTTTGCATATCCCACCTTTAAATGAATATAGGCGAGTTTTTGTTTTGCCTTTCTGCTTGGCCCATTTTGCAGGCATGTTGCATTTAGTTTTTCTTTTTTTAAACTATATGTCATGTTATGCAAGTTCTGCAGCTACCACTTAACAAACAACATTAGGGATTTTATACCATAGAAGTGGTAGTTAGAATGTGCAGTACCAGTCAAAAATTTGGACACACCAACTCTCTTTACTATAGTGCAAAATTGTAATAAACTTCTACTGTGTTTATTAGAATCAGCTTTGTGTTGCAGAAACAGTACTGTCTCCTTTTGCGCTTGTATAAAGTGTTTTTTTTTTAAGCAATGTCAACTGTCTTCTCTTCCCAGGCTGATTATTTTTCTTGCATCGCCACCATAGTCTACATCCGTAAAGAGAACTGCTTGTATCAGGCCTGTCCCAGTAAAGACTGCAACAAGAAGGTGGTGGACCAGCAGAATGGCATGTACCGCTGTGAGAAATGCGACAAAGAGTTCCCCGACTTCAAATATCGTCTCATGCTCTCGGTAAGGGACTTGCCCTTGGCTCCCCTGCCTCTTCTGAAATAACACATTAACCTCCTCCAGTCAGAATTCTCTGGGTGTCCTAAATTAAATATCTCTTCCATCCCCTTTCTGCTCTTTGAAAATAGTAATTTCTAAAATGAATTAGTAACCAGAGTTTGTTGTTGTTTTCCTGTTCTAAATGCATCGTTCATTGGAGGCCACATTCTGTTAGTCAGCTCAGACGTTGTTTTGTTGATTGCCCCTTTTTGTATTTAAGAGCTGCATCTCGAATTCCAGGACAGGATAGAAATGGGGGTGGAATGATTGTTTTGTGCTTTTTTATTAATTGTCCTTTCATTCATTCGGTCAGGCCAACATTGCTGATTTTGGAGACAACCAATGGGTGACTTGCTTTCAGGACAGTGCAGAGACCCTCCTGGGCCAAAACTCAGGTTATCTTGGCCAACTCAAGGACTCAGTGAGTTTCTTCATCCTGTCTACTTCTCATTCTTATACGTTTTCCATCTGTGTGGTACATGAAAGTGTGGCCTCGAGTATTGGCCAGCATATTACAAAGACGCTCTGAGAAGCAGTACATTGTGTCCGAATTGGAGTTCTTTCTGTGGCGTGTTTATGAAATAGGCTTTTAAGGCCAAGGATTTTTAACAAGATCTTACTCCAAGAGGTTGATTCAATCTCTCATAAAGTGTTTTATATTAAGAGACAAACAATGTTCTTTTACAATGTGTTGTCTGTAATCCTCTTACGTTATTGTCTTGCCTTGCTTTTACAGAATGAAGCTGCATTTGATGAGGTCTTTCTGCATGCAAACTTCAATACTTTTGTCTTCCGGAACCGAGTGAAGATGGAGACCTACAATGTAAGTTTAACAGAAAAAATCTCAGGGCCCTTCCACATGTGGGCAATAGTGGTAGAGCAGGGTGTCTGGCAATTACAGATGGATCTCATACTAACTTTTTATGAAAAGTTATGTTGTATTTAAGAAAATGAAGAATGTTTCATTGTCCCTCATACATTAAAACATATTAAGTAAAATTAAAATATAAATTTGTACATCAGTGGTTATTTTTGTGGATTTGAAATGTATGCATTACATTAAATTTTAAAAGTTTGGTGTCAACAAGGCGTTTCTTGTTTTAGAAATTAATACTTTTATACAGAAAGGATGCATTAAATTGATCAAAAGTGACAGTAAATGCTTTAATGATGTTACAAATGGTTTCTATTTTAAATAAACACTGTTCTTTTTTAAATTTCTATTGAGAAAAAAACAATTCTAAAAAAAAAAGGGAATTCTTCAGAATATTAGAATGATTTCTGAAGGATCATGTCACACGAAAGACTGCTGAAAATTCAGCTCTGCCATCACAGGAATAAATTAGATTTTAAAATATAGTCTTGATAGAAAACAGTAATATTGTGCAATTCTAATTCAAAATAATGGTTTCTAGTCAATAAATGCAGCCTTGATGCACATAATAGACTTCTTTTAAAACTTTCAAACTAAAATGTACATAAATATTTGCACATTATTATAGACTAGGTGTAAAATGCACCGTTTTATACTGTAACAAACTGCTCCATCTCTATCCACCAAAGGGGTCTTTGGCCTAAAAAAATGTTGAAGACCCCTACTGTATATCTTTTTTCCCCTCCACTCATTAATTTCTAAGCCAAAACATTTTGCTGAAATTGCATACAAAACAGGGATGAAGGAATCTTTTTCGAAGTTGAACAAAACGTACATAACGGTTTTTACACGTTTTGATGTGATTGAGGTTTATGGAAATCACTGCTGCTGATGAAAATTGCTCTGCGCCTTGTTCTTTCTCCGCATGACGTGCCACACGAGAGCCGTGTGAGAACCACGTTGATAGATTAGCTGTGAATATTTAGGATGTTTGGGTTGTTTCTGTGAACCTGAAGCCAAGAACACCACCTACTCCATTTGCCTTCCTCAAACACACCTGCTCACAAATCTAAAGCAGAGAACAACATTTTAGCATTTTCTTCTATTAACTTTCTTCTTATTATCAGAGTTGAGATTCATGTTACATCTCAAAATTCAAATTAACTTAAATTTGACTCCATTTCATATTAGCTACATACAATTATAGCTTTAAATTGGCTAGCTTATTTCTTTAAGCGAGTTAGGCATATAGTGGTGCTGCAGTCAGTCTCTGTGTAATGTGACTTATTATTCTGCAGGGAAATTAGTATATTAGTATTTAAAATGCTCAGTATCCGAATTCCCAGCCATCACATTGCTGGAGATCGATAAATTAAATGTTCAGGTAATGAAATCAGAATACAAGGCTACAGTCAGCACTCGTGAAGGCCACCTTTAACTTGGGTGTATGAAAATATGGATCTTATAAGGGTTAGGATTTTCTCCAGGTATGTACATGAAGAGTACATGTTAGGAGTAAACTGTCCTCAGTTTGATTCAGTTGATTCAGAAAATCTGACTAAATGGAGGCCATTTTGTACTATAAAGTGAAGTCATGATTGAATAAATACAATCAGGGTTTGCCTATTCATGGGTGGGGGGGACTGAAAATGTCAGAGAATTTTAAAATTGTGTTCTGCAGTTCTGCAATGCCAAAACAACACAATCTTCAAAATGCTGCTTGTGTAGTTTCATTTGATTGCTTTTGCTTCCTGTGGGTTTTAATGGGAATGATTTTATTAAAGCGTATTAATGTATGGCAGATTTACATTTAATCTGCCCTTTGTCTCTGAGGCAATATCACATTTAAAGATGTTTAATGCCTGCATTTGTGACTAAATAGGGTTTTAGGTTAAACTAATGGTGTGGAGTTTCCACAGGGGTAATTAGAAGATTTTTCCAAAATTGTGAGTGTAGTCTATTTACAGGTTATTCTTAGTTTGTGCCTCCACACCACTTTTTTTCCCTCCCATGATCATTCCATGTTTCTACTTGCTTCATGAATATAACTCAAAATACTTGCAGCTGGTTTGTGCTTAAAAATAAGAACAGTTCATATTCAAACAGAAAACATTTGTTTCCCTAGGAGACTTTACAACTGCTCTTGGATGGGGATGAATTGGAAAATTTGGGGACATGTTAAATCAAATAAACACGACGTTTACTCAGTTAGCGCACTTTATTCCTTTCATCACCTCGCTCACATATCCAACACCGTTCAACACGGTTCCTCTACAACAACGCCCCCTTTTTACCCGCGCTCTCACCTTTGAACAAGCGCATGCGCTAACCTAATTTTTGATGAATTGGAAAATTTGGGGACATGTTAAATCAAATAAACACGACGTTTACTCAGTTAACGCACTTTATTCCTTTCATCACTTCGCTCACATATGCAACACGGTTCAACACTGTTCCTCTACAACAACGCCCCCTTTTTACCCCCACACTCACCTTTGAACCAGCGCATACGCTAACCTCATTTTTAACCCGGAAGAACCTTCTTCCATGTGAACAGAGTAGGGAGGAAATGACATGTTAACAACATGGATGCTAATACCTTTCGTTTTGTCTTCATAGGATGAATCTCGCATCAAAGTGACAGTGGTGGATGCCAAGCCGGTTGACCACCGAGAATACAGCAAACGGCTGATCATCAACATAAGGAAGTTGGCTGCACAGTAGAACTGCCGGAGTTACACAGAACAAATCCCCAAGCCATTGTGTGGCACTTTTGAGTTTCTTATGGTATTTTGCGTACTTATTGTATAGCATCTTCGAAGTCTCTTTTTTTATGTTTTCCTTTAGTTTCTGTTTTCCTCTGTTTTGTATTTGTCAGTAATTTCACAGTAAGTTTTTCAAAAACGGCAAGATCAGATTAGCTTGTGCTGTTGTCCCCAGGGTTGACTGATCGGAAAGGGCCTGAAGTTCTTTAGAAATTGCTGACGTATTTTGTAGCAGAGACAAATCGAGAAAGAAATGGACTTGGAGTTTGGAGAATTATAAATCAGTGCACATTCAGGGGTCTGCAGCGGTGATTTAGGTTGGCTAGAGAAAAAGTACAACCCCTCTCACTGTAAGAATGCCTGGACCAAACATGCAGAACATTGATAAACCCATTCACACTCGTGTGCTTATCAGGCACACACTATTAATATAGATACACACTGTATGTCTCAAATTACAAATAATAAAGCTGTTATGTTCTCGAGTCTGTGTTTGTGTTTTTTTTTGGTTTATTTTCTGCTTAACATAAACACCACGTAGTGCCTTTTGCTGTAAAATGCTCACTTTAATAAGAAGTTGCTTGGATGGAAGTTGAAAGTAGATTAAGCGCTGAACATTTTAATTTAAGATCCTATCAATATTATTTAAAAAAAAAATGTTTTTTTAAACTTCAGTGTTCAGTGTCATGTTTCTAATGATTACTACAACATTTATGATTATTGATACATTATGATATATGGGGCTAAATCTAAATTAGACAAATGGCATAACATAACATTACATAAAAGTGTTATAACTGGATCAAGACATGATTTAATTTGGAATATAAATCACAGCACATTTCGGATGATTAAAGAAAAAAACCCATCTGGAAAATACTGTACTGTGCAGTTTGAGGAACAATTACCTTTCTTCTAGCAGACCATAAAACAAGCTAAAAAAAATAACACGCACTTTCCACTAAAGAAGATACAGGCATGTTTAGTAACCAGGAGGTTGGACTCTTAATTGGGCCAATCATTCACCCTAATAACCACATTGCAAGTCCTGCATGAGTAAGTACTAGTCAAAAATACTTAAACTCTTTTCCAAGTTTTTTTTCCCTCCCTGGTTACCACTACTACATTTCAAATGTATCGTTTAAGATGCAGACCTTCTATAACACAACTTATAAAGTGTTGCCTTCTGAGTTTGGCCACTATTCAAACCACTATTATAAGTCTGGTTCTGTGGGCTTTCTGAGGGGAGACTGAGACTGTTATTCTTCTCTCCCATTATGTCTGCCAAATACTAAAAGATCTCTATAAAGGCCCCAGTCCCTTAAAACTCTGTGTTTGGGCCTATCGCTGTATGATAATAGCCTCTGGTGAAATCCCCCAGCAGCAAACACAACAGGACATAAACACCGTTCTTGCACACTGTTCACATCAGAGGTGCTTTGTTGTACGTGAAGGCCAAACAGCCTGTTTTCCTTTTATCCTTTTCTTCTTTCTTCGTCACCCCACCTTGGCACATCCTTCCATTTATTCCTATCGGGCTGCTGTGAATTGTAGTTTTGAGTGGTATTATTCCTGCTCTCAAGGTCTAACGTTACTAGTTGATGAATGTTTTTTAAGGCCAGCTTGTATTCATTCCTGTCAGGCGTAACCATGTGTAGTGCTAGTCGCGATCTAAATGTCATATTTGAGTAAAAAAAAGCGTTGGACTGACATGAAAGTGCTTCTATATCATCATTTGCTGGTTCGTATGAATGCGCCTTAGCCTTTGTGAGGAATAGCGACATAATGAGTGGTATGTATTTTGTTTAAGCCTTGGGGCAAGTCCAGGCTTGGGATGGAGGCGGGTGCACGGAGCAAGTCTGCGCCTGTGCAAATTTGTGCCCCTGGCTATTTTAAGAACGGTATTAAAATATAGACAAATTTTTACTTTTTTATGTGTGATATTGACCTCACGTTAGTCAATATTGTGAATATTTAGGTGCTGTGTATTCGGTTTAAATCCAATACTGGTACTAGTAATTAAGCTTACGTGTTTTTCACATTCCAAGTTATGAATTCAATTCCCAGTTGCGTTCATATTTGGAAGGCTCACACAAACCACAAACTGTATATGTATAACTTAAGTATACCTGATTAATATACCGTTAATCAGGTAGTGCCATTGTAGGAACGATTAAGAACAGTTCCTGCTCTCTCTCAAACCACTATTATAAGTCTGGTTCTGTGGGCTTTCTGAGGGGAGACTGAGACTGTTATTCTTCTCTCCCATTATGTCTGCCAAATACTAAAAGATCTCTATAAAGGCCCCAGTCCCTTAAAACTCTGTGTTTGGGCCTATCGCTGTATGATAATAGCCTCTGGTGAAATCCCCCAGCAGCAAACACAACAGGACATAAACACCGTTCTTGCACACTGTTCACATCAGAGGTGCTTTGTTGTACGTGAAGGCCAAACAGCCTGTTTTCCTTTTATCCTTTTCTTCTTTCTTCGTCACCCCACCTTGGCACATCCTTCCATTTATTCCTATCGGGCTGCTGTGAATTGTAGTTTTGAGTGGTATTATTCCTGTTCTCAAGGTCTAACGTTACTAGTTGATGAATGTTTTTTAAGGCCAGCTTGTATTCATTCCTGTCAGGCGTAACCATGTGTAGTGCTAGTCGCGATCTAAATGTCATATTTGAGTAAAAAAAAGCGTTGGACTGACATGAAAGTGCTTCTATATCATCATTTGCTGGTTCGTATGAATGCGCCTTAGCCTTTGTGAGGAATAGCGACATAATGAGTGGTATGTATTTTGTTTAAGCCTTGGGGCAAGTCCAGGCTTGGGATGGAGGCGGGTGCACGGAGCAAGTCTGCGCCTGTGCAAATTTGTGCCCCTGGCTATTTTAAGAACGGTATTAAAATATAGACAAATTTTTACTTTTTTATGTGTGATATTGACCTCACGTTAGTCAATATTGTGAATATTTAGGTGCTGTGTATTCGGTTTAAATCCAATACTGGTACTAGTAATTAAGCTTAGGTGTTTTTCACATTCCAAGTTATGAATTCAATTCCCAGTTGCGTTCATATTTGGAAGGCTCACACAAACCACAAACTGTATATGTATAACTTAAGTATACCTGATTAATATACCGTTAATCAGGTAGTGCCATTGTAGGAACGATTAAGAACAGTTCCTGCTCTCTCTCTCTCTCTCTCTCTCTCTCTCTCCAATTGACTCTATGAACTTATGCATTAACATTAGCATAAAAATAAAACAATAATTTAAAAGGGAAAATGGCGTTTATCTGGCTCTTTTATCTTAAATGCCATTTATTTTTAATCGCACACAATAAATAGAGTTCACATATAATGACAATTTAAATACAAAGTAAAAAACAAACAGCAAGGCACACCACAATATAAAAAATATAAAACATCAACAAAACTATGAATAAATGAATTAGTTAAATAAATAGAAATAAATGTACTGAAATAAAAAAATATTGCTTTTACATAAATCATGCCTCTACATTATTTTTTTTTGAAAATTTCTGATTGTGCACAATAATAAACTTAATATATAATGTTAGTTCAAATACAAAGTAAAAATCAGTAAAGCAAGGCACATTAGTACCTCAAAATGAAAATGTAAAACATGAACACAATTTTTAATTAATGAATGAACATGTTAATTAATTAAAAATAAAATGAAATAAACTCAAACAACAACAACAATAATAATAATAATAAAAACATTTATAACAAATAAACTCTGCATTATAATTAGAACATTTCTGGCTTCTTGTTGACTTTGCATCTTTAACCTTTTTGCACTATATTGCGTCATTATATTGTTCTGTTATTTTTATATTCTTTTGTGACATCTCATGATGAAGCCAAACAGATAAAGTGGTTTGTCAGCTGCACTTACCAAAATCTGAACATCCTGAAAAGTGTTATAATCCATTGACGTGATAACAACAGAGAAGAGAGTGGCAGAGAAGTTTCTGCTGGAGGATTATCTCAGACGCCTTGGAGAGAGATGCAATTTGCTATTATCCAGGAAAGGGCTACGAAAGGGCTCTTGGCAGGTCTCAGAGCGGCAGATAAAGGCAGATGTGTGTGGTAATGAAGATGCCGGTTTGCCTGGTTGCTTCCCTGGAGCTTGTCCTGTGCGGGAGTTACGTTTTGCATTGCGCTGAGGCCTTCTGCCCTGATTAAGACCTCAAACGGTGATTTGGCTCAGGGGAGCGATGAAGATTATCTTGTAGGCTCGCACTGGTCTAGCCCTGCTTGTTGTGACAAGGCTGAAAAGTACAGATAGTGTGCAAAGTGCTCTCATTATATTAAATGAAGTTAATGCATACACCTTCTGTACCAAACTTTGACCTTAAAGGGGTCATATGATGCGATTTCAATTTTTCAAATCGACGCGTTTCAAAAAGGCGGGGCATAGAGGAGAAACAATAATGTACAGTATGTGGAAAATAATGTGTTTTTTAAACTTTAAACCGCATAAACACATTTCATTACACCAAATACACAAAATAATGTTCTTTTTAGCAGCATCATATGAGCCCTTTAACTCTAAAGGGCATTGTGAAAATTCAGCTAATGGCATCTTTTCCACTTGCCTTCCTTTAAAGGTGATTTTTTTTTTACTGTTAAAATACTTTATCCCATCCCAGTTTAATGAGCAAACCTGTAAGTAATCCTGAAAGAAAGCCATTCATAGGCCAACTTACTGAGTTTAAACATCTATTTCGCATGAAAGCCCATTTTTGTAAAAAAAATAATAAAGATAATTACAACTTTGTGTCCCATAAATGCAACTTTATTTCTGACAAATTGTTACTTTGTTTTTTTTTTAAGTTTAACTGTGCATCTCACAATGCGACTTTAAATCTCACAACAAATTTATTTCTCACAGTTGTGACTTTATATCACACAGTGCAGCTACTTCTTGAAACTGTGACTATTTCATGTATTTATTTTTTATTAATTAATTTACTTAATTTTATGTATTTATTTGTTTACTTTTTATTTTATTTCAAAGTTCCTTTTTTATTTTTTTACTCTAGTTTGTTTCCACTAGTGGCTTTTTTTAATTAATTAATTTATTTAGTTATTTATTTAGTTAGTTATT